TTCATCTGCTTCTTCTGCAAACTATAGTTGACAGCGAAACCTTAATTTGTCTCTTTTATCAAAATAAATTTCGAAAAGTATTACTTTGAAATCTTTTGTGTTAAAGCTTGAAAACATCTTTTGTTTCAAACGATATTTGAAGGTTTGTTTTCGGCGAAAAGCAATAATACTGAAGAAATATTAGCTTTCACATGTTTCAAAGTCAACGTTCTATAATAACACATCAGATAGGCGCTAGAACAAGGAGGACAGTGTCACATTCGTCGTTTTCAATAACAGCGCGTGCCGTAGGGTTAGCAAAACAGTAAAGTGACGAGCACGGATGGAACGGCGTTCTTTTTTGTGCCGTACAGATTTTAATGTTTACCTTGCGTGAACGGCTACTGACGTCACCGCCGAAACCTAGCGCCAAAGTGTGCGTAGTGTAATTTCATAAGACCCTGTTGTTTACACAAGAAAGAATATTTGAAAAATTAGAAAAAAACGCACTGGAAGTGTTGTTCAAGTTGATGGAGACTGATGACTCAGACTAGGGTTGTCGAACTTTTGAACAATAAAAAGTTTGTTTGTTTGAATTTCGCGCAAAGTTACACGAGGGTTATCTGCGCTAGCCGTCCCTAATTTAGTTGTGTAAGACTAGAGGGAAGGCAGCTAGTCATCACCACCCACCGCCAACTCTTCGGCTACTCTTTCTCCAACGAATAGTGAGAGTGACCGTCACAACATTATAACGCCCCCACGGCTGAAAGGGCGAGTATGTTTGGTGTGAAGGGGATTCGAACCCGCGACCCGCAGATTGCGAGTCGAGCGCCCTAACCACCTGGCCATGCCGGGCCTAACAATAAAAAGACCAGAAAACAAACAATCAAAATGCAAGAGGGCCAATGTTTTCTCCACTTCAACTCCGTAAGGCCTCCTGGTGAGTTTGAGGGTTTATAACGCTAAGATACGGGATTCGATTTCCTGCGGCGAACAGAGAGTAGATATACCATTGTGTAGCCAGGCGCTAAAACAAACAAACACTCAGGACGTATTTAATGTCGTGAACTAATTGTGTATTATAATTAAACTAAGGACTGGAGTCACATGAAATACGGTAATATCTCCACTTTTACTTAAACAAGGTTTGTTTGGAATTAATCACAAAGCTACACAAGGGGCTATCGCTGCTCTGCCCACCACGGCTATCGAAACCCGGTTTCTAGCGCTGTAAGTCCGCTTTGCCACTGGGGGTGGGGGTGGGGGCTTGAACAAGGAACACACCTCCAAGTAGTTGTGTTCCAAGTCACTTTATACACCTCCCCCACCCCCCACCCCCAAAAAAACGTAGAGAATGTTCTCGAAAACAACTACTTTTTTGCTTTAAGAATGAAAAGCCTGAGTTAGAGTTTCGATACCCGCGGTAGGACAAATGAAACTGTGACTATTCTGTTTATCAAGAAACAAACAAACAATTAAATAAAGGTCTGTAATTTACAAAATAAAAATTGTTTCTTATCATACGTTTCGCTGGAGATTTGTTAATAGTCCCTGATGACCGACACGTCATGAGAACACGTGGGGGAACTTCCAAAAAAAAAATCACTACATGTGAGAATAACTGTTACCCTAAATGCGAGACCGCTGTACGATTTCCTGCATTAACCATTCAGGCAACAATCGAAGGATCTTCAATTTCCTGTCCATAATTCCATAGAAATCTCGTTCTCTACGCGTGACGAGAACGGCTCTACCTCATTAACAGTCAGGAAGTTATCTAAGCGGAAGTTCCCAGTAGACCATACCTCCGCGAGGCTTCCGACAAACCTGAAAACACGAGCCAATAAATATTGTTCTACAAGCGTATAGCCCATCAAAAATGTACTACCACCCCCCAACATATCAGAAATGAGACAAAAATTACAAACGCAATTTAACTGAATTATCTTTTTTTCACAAGTAACAATATTTTGCACTGACATATAGTCCTTCATTATTTTCTTACAGAAACTTTTTTGCCTTTTTATAACATTTCTTCGTCTTTAAAGAGCTGGTGGTGGTTATCCTCTAACGGTAAGCGTGAGGGCTTATGTTGCCAATATCCGGGATTCGATCCCTGTTGTGGCTACTGCGCAGATAGTCCACAATTTTGTGTCAACAACAAACAAACAAAGCTTTAGCGATTCAATAAAAATGAGATTGTTTCCAGTCTCCAAATTACTAAAATAATAGCTTACTCTACAAGGTTAAAAAGTGGTAAAAAAAAAACCTTTAGCGATTCAATTTCTTACTGACCAATAATATTCTAGTTCTACGGAGCTTTGACTTTCATATCACCTTTGACACAGGTTCATGTGAACTTACCGACCACTATTATTCTAGTTCTACGGAGCTTTGACTTT